ATTGGCTTTGGTTACGAATTGTCTATAGCGATTTCCTTCCCTATTTTGATTTTTCACTCCTAGAAAACCGCTGCCAAGATTATTTTTCACAAACTGAACACAATTATTGTTGAATTTTTAAAAGACACTCATAACGCCCGAACGTTCGTGATTTGACCATAGCAAATTGAACATCTTCGATGGCAATTTTCATTACGCGTGGATGGCAAGTTTAGTTGACAAGCATGGCAAATCCGTACTCAATGTATTTTGTGCCAGAAAATTGCCGTGCGTGTCAACTAAGCTTGCCATCCTCGTGTCACTAAAATTGCCAGCGAAAACGTTCGATTTTCCAAGGTCAAATCCCGAACGTCCAGAATTTATCATTTCCATTTTTAAATATGTTCACAGGATTTTAAAAAAAATATTTGCAAATTTAAAGAAAATGTTCAAAATATTGAAAAATAATAATAATGGAAAAACATGGATTTAGAAAAATTTTGTTTAAAAAAGGTCCATGAGTATAAAATTTTAACGAAATTTCATAAAAACATTCATGAATTTAAAAAACTTAAATTTGGGGAAATGTTCAAGTACATTGAAGAAAATATTCATGAATTTAAATGCTCTGTTTTGTTTTAATCTAAAATTTGAAAAAATGTTCACGTGTTTAAGTCTGTGGATCATGACTACATATGTTCAAAGTATCAATCATATGTACGCTATCTTTAACGGAAGAGGAGATTTGGGGGGGTGCAAAAGTAGGTTTGCACAAGTTAGCTCCCATGTTTAACTACAGTTGTAAGTTACATGCTTTTTAGCTTAACGCCCGAGTAGTAGTGGCAGCTCGGTTAGTTTCCAAAGTTCATGTACGAGTTTGGGTTTACTCGTGTCCCAGTCACTTTTTGAAATCCATCTTATCTTTATTTTCTCACACGAAAATCTTATTGTGTCAAACACTTATATATTTAAATTAATGTTTTTCCAAACATAGAACAATATGTGAACATTTTTTTAAAGCCATCAATTTTTTGAACATGTCGTAAGTACGTGATGAACATTTTTTGGAACTCAAGATGATTTTTTTAAATACACTATGAACAGTTTTAAATACTACATTCCTAATATTTTTTATAAAATCTGTAAAGTAAAATTTTATAGCATCTCTAAAACCACAGAGAATATGAAATGAAAATTGAAAGGAACATTTATAGCATCTCTAGAACCAGAAAAGATATGAAATAAAAATTGTATAGCATCTCTTGTGGCGAACAATTGTAATAGCCTCAATGGCAGCGTGTAAGGTTGCTGCTGATTCTCAAAAAAATTGAAAGGAAAAAAAAAGAAAAATTAACAGCGCATGCATTACCTACTTTGCGTGTGGCAAGCAGGATACAAGTGGTTGCCTCGGAAACTGAGCCTGGGCCATGTATGTCGTCAGTGATGGTCCCTACCGCTTCGAACTGGCGGCACAACACCACTAGTGTGTCGGAGACCTCTCATCTGCCACTCGCCGTGTCATTGTCTCGCCAGAACGAGATGAGTGAGCTGGGCAAGCCCAATCGGCTTTGCTTACGAGTCGTCTATAGTGATTTCTTTCCCTATTCTGATTTTCACTCCCGAAAAACCGCTGCCAAGATTAACTTTCACAAACTGGAAACAATTGTTGGTGAATTTTTAAAAGACCCTGATAATGCCCGAACGTTCGGGATTTGATCATGACAAATCAAACGTTTTCGATGGCAGTTTTAGTGACGCGAGGATGGCAAGTTTAGTTGGCTAGCATGACAAATCTGTGCTTAATGTATTTTTTTTTGCCAGAAAATTGACGTGAGTGTCAACTAAAGTTGCCATCCTTATGTCATTGAAATTGCCATTGAAAACGTCCGATTTTCCATGGTCAAATCCCAAACGTCCGGGATTTATCATTTCCATTTTTAAGTTTGTTCACGGGACTTAAAAAATCTTCGCAAATTCATTCTTTTATGATTTTTATAAATTATTGCATTTAAATATAAGTTCATAAATTTGAAAAATATGTGCAAATTTTAACAAAATGTTTACATTAATGAAAAATAATAATGGAAATACATGGATTTAGAAAATGTTTGTTCTAAAAAAGTTCATGAGTATAAAATTTTAACAACATTCATAAAAATGTTCATGAATTAAAAAAATCTTAAATTTGGGAAAATGTTCAAGTGTATTAAAGAAAATATTCACGAATTTAAAATATTATGTTTTGTTTTAGTCTCAACTTTGAAAAAATGTTCACAAATTTAGTGTTGTGGGTCATGACTATATATGTTCAAAGTATATCAATCATATGTATCGTATCATTAACGGAAGAGGAGATAGAGAGGGGAAAGGAACAACGGTGGTGTTAGCATTAATCTCGCCTCCGGTGCAAAAGTAGGTTTGCACAAGTTAGTTTCCATGTTAACTAGTACAGTTGGAAGTTACGTGCATTTAGCTTAACGCCCGAGTAAGACTGGCAGTTTGGTTAGTTCCCAAGTTCATGTACTATAAAACCATGACAAGTAATTTGGAATGGATGGAGTACGAGTTTAGGTTTATCCGTGTCCCGGTCCGTGTAGGTTAGGTACTAGTCTAGTTGGCTTTGCGCGTGTTTATATATACACGCATACATAGGCTGCAACTGTGAAACATAGTGATAGCTGACACAGAAATCAAGGAAAAGCAAGGAGCATGACAGGTGTCTTTGGCTACAAGTTTTTCGTGCGCATGTGTTCCTAATGCTGTGGTGTAATCAATCCGTGGGTGAATTCCAACAGGTTGAGCTAGTGAGTCGGCACCGCAGCCTCGGCCTCCAGATCCCTCCAATATGGATGTCGCCGCCGCTGCTTCATCCGGCGTGCCTCCGCAAGACGTACCCGCCCTACAGGGCCTCCCCGCCGGTTGGGTGTTGTTCGATGAACTCGTCGGCTTGGATGAAGAGCTCGCCAACAACGCCACATCCGCCGCCTGCGCGACAACAAATGGTCTCCCTCCGCCTCGCCGCGCCGCCGGCTTCCTCCTGCATCCATCTTTACACCAATGAACACGTGTATGGAAGGCCAAGGGTGTTGGCCGCGGACCGCGACCTCCTCCTCGTGAACATGCTCGTCGCCGCCCAAGACGAGGTTCCCGGGAACTACCCGGACAACTTTCTGGTCTACAAGGCCGACACGGACACGCCGTGGCTGTGATCTCTACCCTCTCCGGTCGACTGGATAGACCCTCGCTGGCCATGAATGCCCAATCTACCTCGTCTACTCCACTGGATAGGCCGGTGCGAAGGCGTCGGCATCGCTCGCAGCGGCGAGGTGTTCTTCGTGGCGAATCTCACTATAAACTAAACGTTCTTATATTATGGGACGGAGGGAGTTGGCGAGGCTTGGATGATGACGGTGGACATGGAAAAGAAGTCGTTGAGGTGGTACGAAATCGACAAGAACGGGATAAGTTATATCTTGGGTGGTACAAGAAAAATCATTTACAGTGATCTCTGTACATACCTAGCCAACCCCCGAGGGAATTAAACGTGATCTCTGGTTGCATGAGCAAGCAACTTTTAAAAAATAGTTAAATCTCAGTCCATGTGTTTTTGCCCAAATCTGGGTGGCAAGGTGTGCTCCAGCAGGTTCGTATTTATTGTTTGGGCATTGTAATGTGTGCCTTACAAGTTCCTGGTGGCTACAGAATATCCCTGATACTCCTGTAGGTCTTTAAAGCATTTGGGGTGTTCTTGCCACTTAGATTCTTTAGTATTTGTGTCCAATGGTTGACTCATCTTCTATCATGAGAACGTAGTAATTTTCAAGCAAAACTAACTGATGCATGAACCTCCGAAAAATAGAATTACCCTCCGAAACTGGTTGACTCATCTTCTGCATAGCAAACTACGGACTTATATGTGTTAAAACGATGAACATTGAATAATTATGCAACTGATGAAATATGCAACTTGTCTTTCCTCAGGGCCAATGGCCAGTACATATATACATATATAGGTGGTAAATATGCAGGAAACCCCTCATACAACGGGGAGAATATACATACTACACATGGAACATAATACAACTCTAGCAGAAACTAACAGTTGCACTACATGGACATCAGTTTATTTTGTTTGCAAGCAACCCTTCTGTTGGAGAGCTCTTCAGCGATGAGCGTCATTTTTGCTTGGTTTGGTCATCTATAGGGCAAATGATTCTATTGGTTAGACATCCATAACATGTGCATAAAAATTGAAAGCTTTTCATCCATCGCATCACATGATCATTTATGGCACTAAACGAAAATTGTAAATTACAAAGAAAAATAATTAACAGAAACTATGAATAAAACTATGCTACAGAGCTAGTTCGCTTACATTGAAACTCATGAGCTAGTTCCTTGCGTGCAGATGTATTCGCTTGCACATGGCAGCTTTAAAGAAATACACGGGACACCTTATATTGGATTCAACACCATAAGTGTGTGTTACCCTAAGTGCCTGCTAGTTAATATCCATTCATCATTATCTATAGTTTAGTTGCAACTGAAAACATATGTACTCCAGCATGTCTAGAGTATATCTAACTATCGGTTATCGCATTGTAGATCTGTTATTGAATTTCGTACTAGATATCATGGAAGAACAATGGATCAGCTCATTGTGTACATGTCGGCTCCAGTTGACAATCTAATCTTTAACACTTCTCTCTTTTTTCTCTTAGTTACTGTGAACTACTAGTTCTAAAATAGTATTTCAGTGAGTTTTCTGCTGTAAATCTGCACTTGAGACAACAAACTCATTCGCGTGTCATTTGCACCTGAGATAATGATATTCAAATTATATTGTCATCTTTGTAATGGTGCTATCCTTGAGATCTCTAATTTTTCAAGCAACCTGTTACATTCGCCACTCGGTGTCAAGGAAATGTGAACGTACCAGTCTCTTCATCATCAGATAGGCAATACCACATCTGCAGGAGCAGCCACGCCATGGGGATCACTGTGCAGCCCAAGCCTTCCTGTTAGCCATTCATCCAGCGTGCTGGATCAGGATCTGACTGCAGCGTGCCTGATGCGGAAGGCCCAACACCCCTACTTGGCAACACATTCGACGCAGCTGAGGAAACGCTAGATGTCATAGTCAAACCTCGCGGTGATGTTAGTGGCAGAACTGGATTTGGAGTTGAAGGTACTGGTGACGACAAGCGTGTTGGGTGTGAACTTGATGGCAGTAGTGGAACCTGCTGAATTTGATGTGAACTTGATGGCCCCAAGAGTGCGGCTAAAGTGGGGTATAAACTTGGGTGCAAACTTGACAGTGATGGGTTCCCTGGGGGAACTGCCTGTGGGCATGATTGTCTTATATTTACTGGAGTCACAGGGGTAGCCCGTGTCCTTGCAGACATGCTCTCCAGCTTAGTTGGAAGCTGCTGCTGATTTGCGGATGCCATCGAATGCACCTGTGGAGGCAACCTGCGCCGAAGATGAGGAGCAGGTGCACGTGCACGTGCTAGATCACTCTGGACTCCAAAGCTTCCCCGTGGCAGAACTGGCGCGAGACTAAAAGTAGTTGACGGTGATCTGACAATGTTGTTTAGTATGGAGGGGCGAGGTCTGACAACTTGTGAAGATGGCGATGATGATGGTGATAGTCGATCGACCTTTAATGGTTGGACATGTGGTGGTGGACCAGCTGGTGATGATGGTGATGGTCGATCGACCTTTAATGGTTGGACATGTGGTGGTGGATCAGCTGGCGATGATGGTGATGGTCGGTCGACCTGTAATGGTTGGATATGATGTGTCAACACTAGTGGTCGACCAGCTGATGACGACGCAGCTGGTGATGCAGTCGATGCCACCGCTGAAGGCCTCGGGGGAACTTGCTGAGAGGCCTGGGGTGTCTGGTGATTTGGAGGGCTGTGGGCTCTAGCTGCAGATCAAAGTAATTAGCATTAGCGATAGGGATTTGGGAGGATGTTTGGAAAACATGTCAGCATAATCATTTAGAGGACATCAAATATGATTGCTTGTAGTCAATACTAAATACCTTGTGCTCCAGAAGAAGATATGAATTTAGCCCGAAAATAGTCAGCTATTGACTGGTTGAGGAGAACTTTCTCACATAAATTATCAAGTGTCCTTGTTTGCTGAAGATGAGTGGAATCCTGTTCTTGAAGTAACAAATCATACTTTTGTTTGACCTTGTCTATTTCTTGGCTACACTCAGTCCTAAGTTGTGATTTCTGTCCATAAGTGAAAAAATGAGAACAAGATGAATCGCGGAACTAGTGTAAGAAACTCACAACCAAGATACATGAAATAGAAGAAATAGCAAACCTTTAGTTCGTTGGTTTTATTAAGCGAGTCAATGTATGACCGCAATCTGTGCAACTCATTTTTCAGTGGTTCATCACCAACTGGTGGATGATTAAACACCATTGATGCCACCATTTTTGCTGAAGAACCAAGTGCAGCCTCGGGTTGATGACTTGGTTGACACTGATCAGAGTGTGTTCTTTCAAGCAGAATACTGGACAGTGGAACCCATGGGTGCATTCCAGATGGCAAACACTGAGATGATGGTACACGATAAAGGCTTGCTTGTTCTACATTTCTCTGTGAAAGCTCAGTTGGCACCATACTTGGTTGTGCAGATTGAATTATCAGATCTGACTGCATATAAGCTTCCCTGGATGCTGATGGTTGCATTTCAGGTTGCAAAGTCTGAGCTGGTATCATACCAGAACGGTCTACTTGTTCTGCCTCTCTTTGCAGAAGTTGTGCTGGAGCTGCAATTGGTTGGCCTGACTGCAGTAAAAGATTGGCCTCAGCTTCAACTTCGTTGGACATTTGCAAGGAAGCCTGGCTGGGCACAGGAACCACAATCTGTGGTTCTAGGTAAGGTGGATCTGCCTGAGTAATGTCCCCATTGCCGGTGTTAACTTCCATTTCAGCATCTCCTAAATGTTGGTCAGTCTCTCCGGGTAATGGTTGCGAACCCACACCACTCTGTCGCCCAACATGTTCAGTCCTTCTATCGTCACCACTTGAAGATTCCTGATAAATGTCACAGGTACATAGGATTATAGTATCATAATGGACACTAATAATAAAAACGGTCAAAAGGAATACTAGCACAACTATAATGTAATGAAGTTCCATGAATACTAGTGCAACCATAATGAAATGGAGTACCATGAACTGAAACATGAAGACCATGTGTTCAGCACTGACTCTAATAGAAAGATAGGTGCTGCATCAACTGGGATGTCCACTATTTGTAAGTACGTACAAGTAAAATAGCTACACAAAGTCACAGACGCTCACAGATGAGCCTACTAAACATTTCTTTTCCTTTCGATATATTACAAAGAACTTATAAATGAGTAATCTACGAACCGTAAAACATGACATAGCATGAAAGGCAACATACTACATACAGTTCCACCTTCTATGCCTAGTGTACTGTACAGACCATGGTGAGCAAGTAACTATGTTCACATTGCCTCGTGGAAAGAGCAAAAACTACACATCCTAGATGAGCCTACTAAACATCTCCTTTCCTTTTCGCTATCATAAAGCAGAACTTATACGAAAAATCTACAATCCATAAAACATGACATGAAACTTGAACCGAAGCTTCAATGTGCTGTATAATCTTACATAAATTGACTGCTAATTATGATAGAAGTTTTCATTAAAAAAAGTTAAGCTGACAGTTCCTATATGGATAAGCTTATAAAGTCAGAATGAAATCACTCCAAAGAACTAGCAAGTCTACTTAATTAATCCACCTTACCTGATTAATAGAATTATCAATTGCAGGACTAGAATTTACTTGGTGTTGAACAGCCAGAGATGCCCCTCCTTGCGAGTCGATGCAATCAAAAATATTGCTGATCGTGTTCTCTGTCAAACCAATACCTTCTGATGCTGGCATTCCCCCATTGTGGATAAGAACTTCAGCAGAACCATTTCTCGCTGCTTCTGCATTGATAACATCAGATGGAATCACACTGCGAACCAATGTAACTTCCATCGCTGAGGTTTCATGCAAAGACTGCAGACAGTTTGCCAAAGTTGCTGTATCAACACAGGAGCTAAAATGGCTGAATTCCTCAATAGCAAAGCCTGAATCTGGTAAATAAATATGTTCATCAAAAGTAAGATCTAATTGGCCAAATTTTGCTTCGTGAAGGAAATTTTCCTTCAACTGTAACTCCTTGGTCCACACCATTGATTGCTGCAAGTCAAGCTTCTCACGCTGGTACCTCATGTGCTTCAGAAACGCATATAGTAACATAGTGAACCATTCAACTATTAGCTTTCTTTGACTACCTCTGTCCTCTGGAGCAGCTTGAGACCTACGAAGATGTTCCACAACTATTCTGCATGCTTCTCTCAGTTTCTCCACTCCCTTGTGCCTGTGCATGTCAAACATTGCGACCTCATTTGTTTGTTTATCATGGATATTCTTTTCTCTCAAGGAGAAAACCATGTCAACTAATTTAATTCTTTTCTCTGTGATTCTATTAAGAAGTGCATCCTTTGATAAATGTTGTTTTTCATGAATCTCTGGAACATATAGCACTTCCTTCTCTCCTGGTACAATAGGCTCAATCACTAAGTCATGTGAATCCTCTTGATGTGATTCATTCCCACCAACAGACGCTGCCTGCTTAGGGATTGATTTGTCACCTGCCTGCTTAGGGATTGATTTGTCACATCCATATTTAGTTGAGGTCTCCTGCTGGTATGGTGATATGTTCTTTACTGAAATTGATTGATTACTCTTGCTTGTTCTGCCTACTCTATGTGAGAACTCCTTCTTTAGGATCCTTAGCTTCTTATAAACCTTCTCCGCAAGAGTTTCACTGCACTCATACTTCAAATGTTCTACAGCAAGGGCCAGTGATTCTCTATGATCGACTTTATGCCTTGAGAGAGAAGCAGCACGCCAGCACTGAAGTAAAGCATGCAAAGAAGGAAAACATTCATGAAGAACAGCAACATTTAACATTGAACATGTAGTACAAAATTACAGAAGGCTTTCTCTAACCAGTGCAATGTTGAATGCATGCAGTATGTCCTTTGGCACCTTACTGACTTGGTGATTCTTCAAAGTATACTCAAGAAGTTCTTCACATAAACATTTAACACTCCCCTGCACAACATGCTACAGTTCCATCAAAGAATCCAATCATCTAAAATAGCAAAATGATGAATATATTAAATCATGCGTCTTCAGGAATTTTAACCTCACTGGAATGGTAGGGTGAATCACTTTTTGATAACTTGTCTCTGTATTTATTTGCTACACATAATGCATTGATGTTCAGAATGCTGCACTCCAGGCAGAGTTTATGATTGTTGATCAATTACAAACAACCAAATATTATACTTCTCTTCGGGATGTATTTGGTTCTTACTATCGTTCTTACAGAACTTTCAATACTGCCAATTAGGTTAGTACTTCTGACCAAAAGAATATACTAAACAGTAGCAACTCTAGCAGAATCAGCAAAATGGCCCAATCGCCATAATAACCACCTGTATGGTGTTCGGGGCCCAAAAAAGGGGTCTAGCAGAGTCGCAATATCGCCCTCCATGATTTTTGGAGCGTGCTCCAAATAGCGGGATGTAGCCTCCATATCTGGAGGCTGCACGGGGCTGCTTTGGAGCATGCTCTAAACCCAACCGCC